GGAGGTTGGTGTAGAAGTTCAGAATGAAGCTGGTGCCGAAGTTCAGAATAAAGCTTCTAGGAGAGTTCCTCCAATACTCCACTATTACTCTAGAAGAAATCGTCTTTAGTGTTTTTGTTTCCTTCATTTTGGGATGATAAACTTGAAAGGATTTAGCAGATAGATTATGTCTTGAATTTGGGTTGGTTTTTCTTGTCATAGAATATTCTTCAGTTGATTCTATTGTAATGGAAACAAATAATTCATAATGAGTTCAATGATTCTCTTTCTGTTTGGGTAAGAAAAACATTCTAGTGAATCAAAGTGGAGGCTCCAAGAGATGGGTTTTGCACTGAATTTGACACTGAGAGGAAGAAGAAGAGACATGTTCTTTCTACTCACAACCGTTAAAGATTTCCAAAAGAAAGGAAGAGAAAAGACAATATGTCGTTTTCTGCATGACTATCTGCAGATCTTCTCTGTTACCATCAATACAATTATCATCCAAGTCTAGCTAACGAGGTAAGTAAACTTTCTTAAGTTGACATGTGTGTTTTGTTCACAATGTAAGATTAAACTTTATGGCCTTTAACTTTCTATTTGCTTTTCCTGGTTCTAGCATAGTCAAACCTGGTAATAGTTTGGTAAGGTGTTCTTGTAAGGTATTGTGCAAGACTATTGTAACTAGCTTAGGGGTGGTGCAGGCCTTATATTGCGCGTAGCGACTGGAGTTCCAGGTTGCTTGCCACTGTTTCACATGCCTGTAAAACTGAGGATATCTTTTTGTCTCAAGTTGCGTTATCCGCCTTTTTAATCTCTGTTGACATAAGTGACAAAGCCCAGAAGATGGTAATGGAGAAGGGTCTTCATCTGATGAGAGATAGTGCTAGGAAAACAAAAAAGCACAGCAGTGCAAGAAGGTTTGTCAAAGGCTCTAGAATTGCAGTTGGAGATGCTCTTAGAATGATGTTTTATATGATTTTATTTAAATAAAATATTTTCGTAATTTGAATGTACGTATTTCAACATCTATTTCATATACGTACTTACTACTTTTCACACTTAATTACGCCATGATACAATGCATTCAGCTTACGTGATTGAAATATGTGGAAACATGCATGTACATATGATACAGTCATCCTTCATATAATTCTCTTCAAAGGAAATTTTTTTTTTTCCTAGGAAATTATTGCTTTTTTTGTATATTGGATAAAGCCTTTTTCCCATTTCTCACTTGCAATTACAATTGATTTGGATATATAAAGTTAAAAAGTAAATTATTATTTAATAACAGGTTCATTTAATTTCCGGATTCAGCAGCCATAATAGGTCTGAATTTAATTTAATTATCTCTAATCTCTAGGTATGAATAAAAAACAAATTCTTGTTCAAACTATTTATAACTTGTTGAATTATATTGTAGCGGGACAAGTCATACTGTTGAATTAGTGCGTTGCAAAAGACGAAAATTGGTGCGTTGCAAAAGACGAAAATTGGTGCGTTGCACCAAGTCATACACCTAAAATTGGTGCGTTGCAAAAGACGAAAATTGGGACGCTTTAACGAAAAGTGACATGTTTAGGAAGATGCACATGGCTAACGAAGCTGCAAGGGAACAAGGGGAGACTCGTATGGTCGCGTTGATCGATTTCAATCTCCATTTGATTAGCGTCTTCGTCGACGTCCTTGATCATCCATCTACAGAGTTCAAAGGTAGCCTAATCAACAAGACCAAGTAAAGATAATTCAAGTCTATCACTGCGAGGGATTATTGATATGCATCTTGAAAGACACTTTTAGGCTCGTGGTTTGGAATCCGTACTTGCACTACAAGAAAACAGGACCGTTTCCGACGGCCAAAACCGTCGGTAATCCGTCGGAATAAGCCCTATTCCGACGGCTTGCCGACGTTTTTGGTCCGTCGGTTCTATCTCGTCGAAAATTAAAAAACCGTCGGGAATCCGTCGGAAATACTGACGGATTTCCGACGGAAAAGGGATAACTGGAATCCGTCGGAAATCCGTCGGAATCATTGTCGACGGATTTTCGACGGCCAGAACCTCCGACGGATTTCCGACGACCCGTGTCACCGACGGATTTCCGACGACC